CTTTGCCTCTTCATCTGATTCTTGCTGTTGGTATCTGTTTCTCAGGGATCCTCCCTTGGACTGATCGGTGCAGTCACTGTGTTTCAGGAAGCCACTGAGGACTCAGGAGATGGGTGGGTTTGGCGGTGGTGTGGGACTTGTAGATTACAGGGTCCAATGGAGTGGTACGGCAGCAACCTGCCTGTAGAAGGTTTGACTTGTGACTGAGGTGGGCCAGGGAGGGTCTAAGTGTTTTGCCCTGAGACTAGGGCTTAGAGACTGCTGTCCAGATGAAAGGCTGGTCAGTCATCTGTGCAGTCCCAGTCTGTGCCTCAGGGAATCATTGAGGTTGTGGGGGATGGGTAGGTTTGGTGGCTGAGTGGGACTTGTAGAGTGCAGGGTTCAATGGGGTGGGGGTGCTGGGGCAGTCTGCCTGAGGGAGGCTTGCTCTTGAGGCTGAGGCAGGTGGGAGAGCAGGTTTTTGCCCTGGGGTCTTGGGCCTAGAGACTGGGCTGTCCAGCTGGGAGGCTGGTCATTCACCTCTGGTCCACTTTGTGTAGTCAGGGATTTATTTGTATCCATTTGAGAGTTAATTCATATTAACTGAATTCTCAGAATGTATTTAGAATTTTAAAAACATTTTTCCTGGAGTCTTGTGTAAATCGTGCTCACTGGGAACTGCATATTTGGTAATTTTGGAGGAGACACAGTCTTGGCTTTTCCTGAACATCATGTTTTAACACTAGATTTGCACACCTAGAGGTAATTTGCTGGTTCGGTTTTTGGTGTACGTTTCTGGCTTGCCTTCACTGTGAGTGGGTGTTCAGATCTATGCGTGGCTTCATTGGTTTTATATCAGTTAGATGATGCTGAAGGTCAGCAATGGAGGCACTCCATTCGGATTTATGAGTGAGGAAGCTGTACTGACTGACGCCAGCACGGCTGGGAGGTACACTATCTCTGACCTCACCAGTTGGTGTTCGGCTTGAGTTGGCATGGAAGTAATGGGATGCCATAGTTGTCAGTGGTGTTGTCTTTAGAACTTGGGGAGCAGGCAATGTCTTCTGGTGGTGGGAGTTGGAGTACCAGAGGTGAGTGGTGTGGTCTTCTACCTGAGGAATGGGCAGGTATTCTAGAGGGGTCTGTACATGATGGTGTGGTTTGGGATGACAAGAGTTGACTCAGGTATGTTCAATTTATCTTTATTTTCCTCTATTTCTCAGTGCTTACTAAATCAATCTTTGTTACATACACACTCCTTTGACATTGTGGGACTTTGGTTAAATTACATATCTTTAATTAATTTTCCCAATTTTCAATGAAGAACAAAACATTATTGACCTTAATGAACTACTGAAAGGGCTCATCAAATAATACACATAAAGTTTTGTAATGCCTGCACTAATCCCTCATTCAATAATTGAGGATTAGACTGATGTTCTGAATTGTTAGCACCATATTAGTGCAGGTATTTATTTAGAAAACTAAATATATAAGGCTGTCTAAAATACACAGGTTTGTTTTTAATGCACATTAAAATGGTGTAATGGCATGCTATGTTATCTTTAAGTTGTTCATTCAATGGAAAAACTTAACAGCAAAACAAAAAGCAAATTTCTTTGTCTGGGTGGTCAGAAGTCTAAAGTTGGGGTGGATGTAAATTCTCCCTGCAACCTATCTCCACATATTTCAGGAGAAGTGCACAGTGAGCATCAATATTAGTAGAAAAGTGTTCCCCAAGAGAAATTTCAAATGTAGATCTCAGGGGCTATCTAAAGACTATCTATCTCTTAACTATCATTTAGCTATTTATCCAGTATTCGTCATCTATATATTTATCATCTATTATCTCTCACCTACCTATTATCAATCTTTATCATCTATCTATCTTCCATAATCAATCTATCTATCACCTGCCATTTACCTATATGTATCTAACATCTATTTCTATATTATATGAATCACCTAGAACATCTCTCTTCTACCTTTTTTCCTCCTTCCCTACCTCTCTCCTATCTTCATTCCCTTCATCTTCTTTAGCTCTGTTATTTCCTCAAATTTAAGTGCAAAATAACTTTACAAGTGGGAGAAATCAGTTTTTAAACTGAGTTTGTAAAACAATTCTTCAGCACACCTTGATAAATACATTTCCATTTTTATGCTCTGTCGGTTTTAGCTGAAAAAGGAATAACTGTAAGCAGGATAAAAACAGAAGGTGTTCATTCAAGCACTGTGTGTAATCTATCACCATATGGTTGTTAGAATAACTGGAATCAAGCTTAAGACTCTGGGGGAGATAATGGATCTATGGAGGGTGCTTGCTATTCACAAAGCTCTAAAATTCTCTTTCATGATTGTGGAATTTTCATCTCATTCTATACTGTGCATAATAAGGCAGCCCTTCCGATATGATTGTTATAATCATATCTCCTCAAACAATATGGAAAAATACAAACATCAGTTTGTTAAAATGATGTCAAGGAGAATTGTCTTTGAAGTGTCCAATGGGCAAGAGGTGGAGGGGGGACTGCCACTACCAGGGGAAAGTGACTCTGTTATTTAAACATAGGTATAACAATGAGGTCTTCTAATAGTACCTTTGCATTTGGAACATGATAAAACGACTCTGTGACATAGCTCTGAATCATCGTGTCTGATCCTTGCTCTCTGTCCATTCTCTAAGAGCTAGGCTTCTACCTTAATCTACCGTAGCTAAGGTCCTATTCACTGTCTCTGGTGTTCATTGCAACTATCACTGGAAATGCCAGCTCTCGGCATTTTCCTTCCATCTTTGGCTTGGGTTTGTTGGTTGATTTGGTTCCCTTCTTCCCTTTATTAATTTTGTAGTCGGCGCCAAATGTGGATAAGAATGATTTAAGCATGTCTAATTTCTTTCCTCACTTTTCAGACAGAGACCCCAAACTAAGAATATCTGAGGATCAGCCATCCTTTGGCCCAAAGCCCAAACAAGATGGTGCACATAAGTTACAAGCTGTCTGGTTTCCCCATCCAGAACACCATCGTGCACTGGTACCAGCTGAAAGAAGGGGGACCCTGAAATGAATCTTCGATGACTCAGTCAAGAGTTACAAGCAAGACAAACCCAACTTTCACTTGGAAACCGATGAGAAGAGCGATGGTACCTATAACCTGATAATCAACAATGTTATCACAGCAAAGCCACATACTATTGTGCCTGCTGGGATCTCACGGTGTCTCATCATCTGAAGGAATCTATAAGAAAACCTTCTTCTCCCTGCTCCTCAGCTGCACTCATGGTCACTAAACCACCGAGGACCCTCAGTGTTCTCCTTCATAGGTTCATAGATATTGGGACTGGCTGGATCCTTGGGACTCATTTCATTCAAAATTGTTGCTGCAAATGGAGAAGCTGGAGCCAGAGAAGATCTGGAGCTAGTGACCCACAAAGGTGACTGTACTTGTATTTCAGCCTCAGTGCCCTTCCTACTTTTCTTATGATCATTTCTGAGTTAAAGTTTTTTTTAGCAAAATTTTGATTAGCTTTAATTCTCAACTTGGCACAAGTCAGAATTGTTATTGGATTGTGATGGCATCTATGAAATAAAAATGATACCAGTCTATGAAAGTATATGAGTTTTCTCTCTTACATATGCATACACATCTGTAAGATAGATATGTATGTATATGTGAATATATGTACATACATACACACAGATAGATAAATAGATAGATAGACAGACTGATAGAGAAGCAGCCTGCTTGTTTTTCTTATAGAAGTCTTCAACTAGTTAGGAACCAGAAGTCACTAAAATATACCAACATTTCTGGAAGATGAATTGATCTGAACTCAATGCACAAACTATTATTTTGTCTCAAATGTCACCTGGGGCCTGGAGAGGTGGCTCACCACCAACAGTGCTTTCCGTTCTAGCAGAGGTCCTGGGTTTGGCTCCCAGCGCTCACACAAAGGCCCACAGCTGCCTGTAACTCCAGTTCCAGGGCATTCATGCCCTCTTCTGGCTTCTGTTGGCACTGAGTATGCACATGCTATACAAAACATATATGCAGGCAAAATACTCCCCTATGTAAAACTAAAATTTTAAACATTTACATTTAATACCATAATCAGGATATAATTTCTTCTACAGTTTTGTCCTCCCATCTGCATTGGTGACTGTGAGCTGACTGTTCAAGGATGGTTGTTTTGATCACCAACCTCCATCTTTTGGGACAGAGTTCACATCTGCTCATGTAACTTACACCTGGGCTGCTGAATCTGGGGATGACATGGTGGCCAGGTAGGCCTTTTAGGTGCTCCAGGGTTATCTGCCATTTCTCTCCTCCAGAGGTGAGTTTCAGAAGATCACAGAACTGCCTTCAGGGTCCCCCCCACACACCAGAATTTCAGAACACTGAATCTTAATTTCTACTTTCTAGTGTAAATAAGGGATTTATAATTTCATAGAAGATAGAAATGTATAATTTTAAATTCTTATATGAGGGAGAACAAGAAATCACCAAAGAAACCATTTCCTAGTTGCCACCACCCTGATAATAAATCACGTGACTTCCTAGAGCATGGGAGGCTTGCTTCACCATCCTCGGTTGCTCCATTTCCACTGCCATGGCTGGAGAGCTCTCTCCCTTAAGAAATCCCCAAATTACTGAAGGCATAGCCTTGGTGTTTCTGAGAATGGAGGCGTAGTGAGAAATTATCTTAGCAGTTTCAGCAATGTTAAGCATCTGGGGGTTAATTCTCAGAACGTCTCCTGCTAACATAGGAAAGCTGTTGGTTTGTGGCATGGCCCAGCCTCCTTCTGCTTTTAGCCTTCCCACTGTTTGTTGGTACTTTCCAGTAACTGTTGCCTCAGAAGAGAGAACAGTTTGTGAACGTCAGTTCACACTGAAACTTACAAACTCCTGGATAACACAAAACGTTCCAAAGGAATCCAGGTCAGCTTTGTAAGATAGAGTTTCCAAATGGTTCATCATTCTACAGCTCAAGAGAGGGCTCATGTTTTTGTAGAAGGTCTGAGCAGTGTGACAGCTCGACATGGATCAAGAAATTTTCAAAAGGGACAAAGCTCATAGTAATTCCCTCAGGTAAGGAAGCTGCTTTACTGCTAACTTAGTTGTAAGTAACCGATGAGATTTTTCTCATTTTTAGAATTTGAAAAACAATTGATCAACCATATCCAGCCACAACTTCGCAGTTATGAGTTATTGGGAATAGAAATAAAGCTACTTTGTAATCAATTTCTCCCATCTTTGTCAGTCAGCAAACTGCAATCCTGTATTTAAAATGCATACACATGGGTAGAAGTTAGAATTCTGTGAAGACTATTCACTAATATTGCTACTATATAAAACCACTTTTCTGTTGAAGGTCTTTTAAGTAGTACTCTTCAAAGTGGAATTTTATTAATTTCTCCTCTTTGTATTTGGGAAATTACAATATGTTCCTTTCTTCAGAAAACTGAAAGATTTCTATTCGTGATTATGATTACATACCTAAGGAGGTCAACGCATCGCTCTCCTTTACCTGACCCCTTAGGGTCATGTGAGAACAGACGAAATTTATGGCACTGAGACACTTGGATGCTGCCTACAAAAGGCTTGATTTAAAGGAATGTGTGTGTTCTACAAGGCATTTGAGTTCCAGGTCCATGCAAAGACTCTTCATAGCTCTGCATCTGCCTTGGGTCATCTATGCTCAGCTGAAGAACAGTTTTTGTTCAGAACGTAAGAGGTAAAAAGACTAGACATGACATCAACTCCACATTATTTAGCTTCCTGCCCCGAGGGTTAGGTGTTGTGATTAGGCCTCACAAGACCTTGGACGGTGGCTTCCAGAAAGTTAGGCGGCCCTGGGTTCCCAGAATCCTTTCCACTCTTAATTTGTGTAATAGTTATTGCTTTTGAAGTCCAAATTTAGGATGAGCCTTTCAAATCCAAAAGCATATAAAATCTGAAACTCTTTTTTGGTCTAAGCATTTTTGGATGAGTGATACTTGAAGTGTGGGCCAATAAAAATTAGAGGATGCGGCCACAAATCATTCCATTAAAGAGAGAAATACATTAGAAAAAAATTAAAAGCTAGACATTGTGTGAAGGATTGTGTGTACCTTCAGCCATTATTCTAGATTATTACAGAGACGTTTATCTCCTTTCACAGAGGAAACACTTGGGCTGAGATGCATGATTTCTCCCTAGTTACAGAACATACAATGAAGGCAAATATTGTGTATTCCAATGTCACAAGCATTGTGTTATTGTTTTGTTTTGTTCTGTTTTTGAGACAGGGTTTCTCTGTAACTTTGGATCCTGTCCTGGAAACTAGCTCTTGTAGATCAGGCTGGCCTCGAACTCACATTTCCTGTTCTGTGGCTTGACCTTTTACATGGATACTTTCATTGGCACTTGATTCTAAACATTCACTATTTGTATGATTACATGAAGCATCACATGAATGAAATGCTTCTGTTGTGAAGCCAATTTTAGCCTCTTTCTCCCACAAAAGATAATGGAGATCTTTCTGAATATGTGTTCACTAAATGATTAAGGTGTGTTTCTTGGGTTATTTCTATAACGACATGACTCATTTTTACTTCTGTATTGCCATCAAATTTTATGGAAATATTGAAGATGGTAAAAGAAGTAAACTACATGAAATGCACTCCTTAGTTGCACAACTTAGAGTTGTGTGACTCTCGTGATGAGACAGCTATGGACTTAAACACAGTTAACATATTCTGATACATGGTGCAGAATTAAAATTCAGGGCTCTGCAAACATCAAGGAATCTTTCACTCAAAAGGAGGATTTCCAAGCAAGGATGAGCTTGTGAAGTTATCGTTAATAATTCATATCCTGGTGTTGGGAATAGCAGCTCAGTTGCAGAATTCTTACCTAGCATGTCAGGAGCTTGCAGATAAATGTAAATTTACCTGTGAAATAATATAAGCCTTTATCAGTTGGAATTGGATCCTAGTAAGAAATCATGTTATAATTCATCTAAATGTTATAGTTAATCTAGATGCCAATTGTTTAATTTATCTGAATCATCAAATGCCTAAAGGTATTTATTTACTAAATGTTTAAATACATGAATACTATTACTGGTTTATCAAAAGTAAATACATATTTTAAAAGTATAAGTACATGCTAGGCTAAGAATTTATTTATATATAAAAAGCTTTTAAGGGAACAGATTTCTTCTTATAGTTATTAAATTTCCTATTGATCATAGGAGAATTGTTAAGATAGATAAATAAGAAAAAACACCTGTTACTATCATTCATAGCCATTATTCTGTAAAATTTCAATTCAGTCATTAATTCAGCATATTTTATTTATATTTACAAAAATCTGGGCAGAGTAGATTCATGATACTGGATCTAACTGTGTTTACTTGGTGCAGTGTTACGAAGCACCTACCTAACCATTATTCTTAAAATTATTCATATTTTCATTCATGGTTGCCGTGAAGATAATGGCATTCCTCTTTAGTGGGTATTGTATGAATTATTTGAACTTAAATATGGAAATTATCTAGATCAGTACCTGAGTCTGGTAGATAATTAAATATTAACTTCTCCACAATTCAGGTAACTATCCCTCATAGATTTGTATGAACTCAGTAATGGAAATATATGGACGATATCTAACACAGATCTTACATTAGACCAGTCAGAATATGCATCATACTTATACTTTCTAAAATGAATACCCCGTTTCCAAAAGTTATTACAATTTAACATTCATCTTGTATTGGTAAAGAAAGCCTCAGCCTACATTCTCTCATCTCAGATCTGCTTAAGTGCAGACAGTGGTATCCTAGCCATAAAGCCAGAACTGAGAAACATATTTCTCATTTTTACTGCTGTATTGGCATCAAATTTTATCAAACAATCACTCCACAAGGTAGAAAGAGAAACAGCTATACCACACAAACTATGAATTGATTGTTTTCAATGCCTGTTTCCAAAACCCGTTTAAGAAGAACTTAAACAATCCACAAGGAGTCACTTGGCTAAGAAACAACAGGAGATCAAAACGGAAAACAAAAAGGAGAAGCAGTTGTGGTTACCTAGCAAGAAACATTAAAATTTTATGCTTAAGGATAAAAGAAAACATAGTGAAAAACACAGTTTTTATTATTTGATTAAAAGAAACAAATCATATTTTGAAATCCATGATAAATTTCAGAAAGGATTTCAGTGCACAAGACCTTCCGAAGGAAAGCAAAACACAGAGCAGGCACTGTTGTCCATTCACTGAGAGACTTGTTGAATGAACATGACACTGTCACCTCATCAGTACTGGGAACCTTTGACAGTTAGAGCCATGCATTTTGGGAGCTCTCAGAAGATAGGATATGATATGGTGGACCTGCGATGGTCGCACAGCCTGGCCATCTGCTGTCCCTCTAGTCTACTGGCGTTGAGACTAAGTCAGGAGTTTCAGGCTGCACTTTGGAATGAGCTGGCTGAAATCCATTTGCAACTGTTCTTTCTAGGAAAAGATAGGACTTTCATGTGCCATGCTGTTGACGTGGAGCAGAACAGCTCTTCTGGATAGCAGAAGTGAAATGTTTTCATGCACGACACATACTCGTTTGCAGCCAGGCAGGGCTCTCTTGGTTGCCTTTCACATGAAGCCAGATGATGCCCCTGAAACTGGTGTGCGAAAGGTACTTTTGCTAAGATCATAACCTTGGGAATTTCATCAAACTCAGAGCAGACCAGAATGCAAAGAGGACAGAGGACTTCATTTTACTCATATTCGCCATGGATCAGAGATCCCTAAATGCATAACTCTCAAGAGCAAGTACAAGGCTTGGTCCAGTGCAAGCAACATGTCATGCTGGAGCAATCATAGCACACAAATTCCTCCAGTTGAACTGATTCACACTAGTACAGTTGTTTTAGGATAAAGAGCTGACGCCCCCAAGGCCATTTGATTTGCTCAGAGACACAATCTGTCATACACATATGTTGCCCACTGAAGCCCGAGAATCAAGAACTCTAAAGTTGTTTTGTCTGTGTTAAGTCACTGTGGAGTTCTTAGCAGAAAATCTTTGGCACAAGAACAACACTTGCCAGTTATTTTACTCTTTCTAGGGTAAGAGGGAAGGAAAAAGACGACCAAACCAGAAAATAGTAGGAGTACCAAGGAGAAATGAACATGATGGAGAGATGGCTATAGAAATTTTACAAGAATTTTTGATACAAACAATTTTATTAAAGAAGAACATGAACATTTTACAAATAACATAATAGGATTTAGCTTTATGTATGTGTGAACTATAAAATGCTTATACACAAACTATGTAATACTTACATGTAACAATCAAACATACGTGACTATTAGTGAAAGCTTATTTGGACAATTAGATAGTATTGTCAAAGTTTAAAATTGGATGCCAGAGATGGATCAAGTGTCTCTTAAATCAGATAAATTTATATTCAGACACATTTGAGAAACACATTTCTATTTTATCTAAGTAATACTTCAACATTAAATGAAACAAAAAGTTAAAGTTTTTTCTAAAGCCAAACAAAACATGCAAGTGTATAACTCTGTAAGATTGTTTAAAGAAGTTGATTGGTCTGTCCCCGCCCCAGTTCTAGACACTGTCGATTATTTGGAAGGAAAAGTTTAAAAACAGTCCAGCTCTCAAGCTTAGAGTGGTTTAGATGTGGAAATGAGATGCTGTGGGATGACAGAAAGAGTAAGAGCTGCAGAATTGGGCAGAGATCCACAGGTACAGGCAAGGGATCAACTCAGTGCATGCTGTTGTACTATGGAGGAAACGGCCACTAAAACAGGCAATTTCCCTCACAACATCTCATATGTGAGATCACACAAAAGAAGCACATTTGAGAATCATCTAAGTGGAGGGTGGGCTAATTGAATTGCTAATGCCTGGGAGAGTGATTTAGCCAGACAGTCTAAGAGACAAGTGGGGGGGAACATTGGCCATTAGGGAGTGTAGATCCCAGTCCTCAGAGATATCATATCTCAGAGATATCATTCTCAATACTCCTTCATCCATCTTGAAAATGTGATCTAACCTGAAAAAACACAGGAGATGTAGCAAAGAACCCGTGCTGGCTTGTGGAACAACAAAAGATATATTTCAATTAGGCTCCTCCAGTCACCAACTGACTTCTAGAAGTCATGCAAAACCCTCTACTAATCATGTATCTCTAAAATGAGGACGGTAGTAAATCTCTACAACCTATGAAGTGTGAAAGTCTACAGTGGGTGCTAACTCAGTCATAATTTGTCTTCCTAGCACAGTGCTCCAGATTTTGCCAATCCATGTAACAGCTGAATCTCCCTAGTAATTCTTTTTTATATTTTCCTACAGGCAAACGCTTCGATTCAGACATTTTCCCCAAGCCTACCATTTTTCTCCCTTCTGTTGCTGAAATGAATCTCCATAAGGCTGGGACATACCTTTGTCTCCTCGAGAAATTCTTCCCTGATGTTATAAGTGTATATTGGCGAGAAAAGGGTGGCGATAAAGTTCTGGAATCTCAAGAGGGAAATACCATGAAGACTAAAGATACATATATGAAGTTAAGTTGGCTGACTGTGGCTGAAGATTCAATGAATAAGGAGTATGGATGCATAGTCAAACATGAAAACAATCAGAGAGGAGTTGATCAAGAGATTCTCTTTCCTCCCATAGATAAAGGTATGTGTACATTAATGTACATGTATTTCCAGAAAACACGTGTAAAAGGGAATGATCATATTGTTTTAATATGTATTGATAAAAAATGAATCTTTCTTAAATCTTACTACATATATTATAAATAGAACCAGGCATGTCTCAGAGAATGTTATAGGAAAAAATAGCAAAATATTTGTTTTTAATTTACCCAGCCTCAGTTATACTACATAAAATATATAAAATATTAAATAAAATATTTTTTAGAATTGCTGCATGAATTAAATGGAACAACATACCTGAAGACATCTAGCCATTCAGTGCCATTTCCACTTTTGCTGTCTGTACTTGATTCAGACACAAGAACAATACACACCTTTCAGAAATGTTCCATCATGAAAAATAAACAAAACTTCCAAATTCAATATAAATGCACTAAATATTGTCTTTAAGTTCATTTAGTTTTTAACTGACAAGATAGTGCTCATATAAAAAAATTATATTCAATAAAAAGTAGAACTATTAGGCCCTTGAAGATTTCTGACAGCCTTGTGGGTTCTGATTTTTGCTGTACTTGTCGCTGTTCACAGCATTCCTAATATAAGTGTGGATGAGGCTCACATATACAACACGTTTCTGTTTTCCATGGTGAGTTGTTCTCTTGCCGTTTGTAACTTCAACCACTTGGGTAAACATCTGCTGGGTCGCCTGCAGGCCAGCTCTGAGTGAGATGTGGATGAATAGGATGAGTTAGTGACCGTGTGACTTCAGTGAAGAGCTCGAACTCTGTTCAGCATCATTTAGAACCATGCATTATTCAGGAGCCGTGTCCTAGACACAGCGAGGCAGAAGGCTGAGTGGGCAAAGACAGGTTGTGGGCCAGTAGCTAGCTCTTCATATGGCTGTGTTCTTATCCTGAGTCTTGAAAACATGCCTAAAGACCCAGAGTAACAGAGAAACAGAATCCTTTATTTTTCCCATGTGGCTGACAAACCCTTTTGATCTAGTAGAGAAATACACGAAGGACAAAACATGGGGACATCTTTGCCATTCATTCATTCTTAACGTTCTCGTTAAGTCTTTGTCCTCTGGAAGACTTTGTTTCAGCAGTGGCCAGTGAAGTCTGTAAAGATGCCCACCTTTACCTAGGGTTTTTATGAAGAGAAAACAAATTAATGTAAATGAAGGAAGTTGTTGTTTGCCACAGCGTAGCAAATCATTACGAGAGAGACCCATGTTCGGTTTCCAGCTTAAAGAGACAAAGGCAAGACAAATATACATGGACATTCTATTAGTTTACTTATGTTGTGACTCTTCTAGTGGTAAAGGGAAAATAAAGAAGGGTAAAACCATTGGTGGTGAATGCATGCAGAGGAGAGGTTCCAGTTATTATAATTTACTTACAATGGACTCTGAAAAAAGTGTTTGCCGTGTGTGCCTCATGCAGGAAAGAAATCAAGGCATTTCTGGTAACAACTCTCAACAAAGAACTTCTAATGCTGTCTCTGGGAAGACGTTTTGCTTTGCGCAGTTTGTCTTGATTAAAAAAAAAAAACTTAATGACATGATTGTCAAAGGACGTGAAGCTGAGCGCTAAGACTGCAATTACCTTATCTGAGGGAGTTTAGAAACTCATAGATTATATTCTTAGTAACCCTATTTATTCTTTCATACCTCAATAAGTTCATACTGGTAGAAATTTTACTTATCTTTTAGATAATAAAATTACTAAAAGGATAAAAAATAGCCAGTAAAGCAGATCTTGAAGACCGAAAGTGAACATGACTATATTTACATTTTTACCAAACATACCCAAATGCATTTTAATGCACACAGAACTTGTTCTTCAGTAACATTCCACAGTAAAAAGAAATCCACACCTACGAGAACACATTTGGCAGAATAAGCTCAGAGAACAGGTGTGTGCTTCTCTAATACTATTTAAAATAATCAAGCACTTTATTTTTGTTTTTAAAAAACTCATAGGTGCCCCTGCCTCATCTCAAGTTTCACATAGGAAACTAGAAATATAACTTGGATTATCTGTTTATCCCCAGAAATAACTGCACTGGGACCTTCAGATATTAGAGTAAAAAGAATTGAAATCTTAGCAGGTTTTTCTTTATCTCTTTTTTTAATTTTTTTTTTTGACAGAGTCCTGCTCTGTAGACATGGCTGGTCTGGAATTCACTGGATAGACCAGGCTTAATTTTTTTTCACAATGTGACACATCTAGTCAAGTTTATGCAAGCCCACATGTCAACCATTATTTTGCTTATTTTTCTATTAAGCATGAATTTATACGTCCTCGCTTTTGAAGCAGAAGTTTTTCTAAGACCTATGAGTACACAAGAATAGTGTGTCTGGGAGGGAAGTTTTAGGCATTACATTGAGATTATGATAATGGTACAATCTTTGTGAACTTCAACATGTTCACATGTAAAAGCATCTTATATGAATGTCCCCTACAGAATTACATGTAGTGCAACTAATGTTTTTGGGATTGCAAGGGTCATATTTTAATGACTGTCTTTCTGTTGACATTATATTTAATATGCAAATGTGTACAAATAGGTATATGAATATATTCACACACACATATATATGTATATATATATATATATATATATATATATATATTGTGAAGTAATAGCCATAGATAGTTGACTGATGTTTGTTTTTTTCCTTTTGGTTGTCAACATCATTAATCCCACAGAAGCTTATTTGAAAACTGAATATGGTAAGTTTTGGATTATATTTTCTTCCTCTTAATCATCTGAACATTTTAATCCACCTTGCTTTCAGTAGAAAAAAAAAACAGAACTGAATTTTGCCGAATAGACTGAGTAACATTTAAAGAAATCAGTCATTTACTTGTCATCATATTAACATAGCAAATTAACAAATGAGAGTTCAGTGAGATGCTCTGAACAACTACAAAGAAGACCCTAGTCCATCCACCCATCCATCTATCCAATCACACCACTATCCATCCATCCATCCATCCATCCATCCATCCATCCATCCATCCATCCATCCATCCAT